CCAAAGGAGGGGGCCAACGCCAGCAAGGGCGACCAGGTGCCGGGCTACAGCATTGACGAGAAGCCGGCCCAGTGCGCAGACGCGGGCTCCGAGGAGGCCCAGGGGCAGGGGCTGGGGGTCAAGCGGGGCGCGCTGCTGGACTACAGCATCGACGAGAGGGCGCCCCAATGCGCCAGCGCGGGCTCCGAGGAGGCCCAGGGGCAGGATTTGGAGGCCAAGGGGGTCGCGCTGGCCACGTGGGCCAGTCTCAGCACGAGGCCGTGGCGGGCAGACCCCGCTTGCCACGCTGGGCAGGGCGCCTGCCGACGGCGCCCCGAAGGAGGGGGCCGACGTCGTCGCGGGCTTGCAGGTGCTGGCTGCAGCATCGCTGCGAAGTTGCCCCAGTGCGCCGCCGTGGGCTCCGAGGAGGACCGCGGGCAGGACCTGGGGGAGGAGGGCGCGCTGGCCACGGAGGCCGGCCTTAGCACTAGGCTGCGGTGGGGGGGCGCCGCTCTCGGGCCCGGGGGCGAGCGCGCCCCCGTCGCGCCGACGCTCTTCTCGGAAAACAACGAGCTGGATGTCCAGGGCGATCCCGCAGGCACGCCTAAGGAGGTTGCGCCGCGGAAAGCGGCGAGGCGGCGCCGAGCGCGCCGCGAGATGGCGGAGAACAAGGGCGACGGCAAGGGCCAGGGCGAGAAGGCGACGGCGATTTACGGTGACAGCCTGCGAGCGACGGACTCCGCGGAGAGTCTCGACGGCGAACCGGTCGCGATCAACGAGGCGCGCGGCTTTGTGAAACGCAAGCTGGCGGAGCAGTTCCAGCTCAAAATGAAGCGCCACGGGGCGAACGTCAATGCCGAGATGCTTTGGGGGGCATTTCAGAACATCGTTTATTTTGGGCAGCGTGTTCAAGGGCTGTCGCTTGAAAAGCCCGAGGCCGAAAACTCGGGATGATGGCGACATGGGAATCAGCCTGGCCGAGAGCGCGGCCAGCGCCCAGAAGCGCGGCAACGCCAGCAAGCGCATCAGCCTGTCCGCCTGCGATGACAACAGGCTGCCCGACGACGGGGTCGGCGCCGAGACGGTACCGTGACATTAATCGTCATCTTCATGTGAGCTGCGAACCTGGCGGTGCTCAGGTCAACCTCGCGTTGAATCGCTGTTGCGCGGAAGCCCGCGCTTGCGCGGACCAGCGGAGATAGAACATGCTCCCGCCGTCTTGGAAATGATTCCTCGCGCACTCTCGCGGCTAAGGACATTCAGAAACCGAGCATGCGCGGCGTCAGGGCAGGGGCCATTCTTCGACAACGACCCAACCTCTATCTGTTCTTTTGCTGTGTAAAACTATGTTGTGCGGCGCCAGCGAAGCGAAAACCCAATTGTGAAAACCGTTTGTGGTCGACGCGCCAAAGCGATCTGAATGCAGTTGTTCCCTGAGGTCTGCTGCGGCGACGAGGGCGATGTTAATGATGATGTGGGTGCTTCTGCTGCTGGTGGCGACGGCGAGCCTGGGCGCGTTTGGGACAAATGGATTGTGGCGTCTGGGAGCGCTTGGGGGCGTCTTGGAGCGTCCGGGGACATTTGGGGCAGCCTGGGCGGGGTCGGCGGGGGGTGCCCGATAAATATTTGTGTATCTGGTATTTGCATTTGATGTATTGTTTGTTTCTTGCCTTTGAGCCCAGGGACCCTTCGGGTGCCAGGGGGTGGGTCCTGCCGAAGATCAGCACATTCGCGCCGAAGATCGTTTGTTATGCAGGCTGGTTGGGGGTGGGTCGGATGGATGTGCACCGGATTTGAGATGTCCCGTCGGATGGTCAGGATTTGGTCAGATGGGTGTGCCCCAGATCGCATTTTATTCGTGAAATGGTGGGTGTTGGGTCATTTGGATGTACACAAGGTCGTATGCTTTGCATGTGATGGCGACGTTTGGGTCGGATGGATGTGCACCGATTTTTTCTTGCACAAGACGGAAAAAAGGCTTGGTCGCACGGATGTGCGCCGACTATTCGTTTGTTACATTGGATTTTGAAGGTTGGGTCGCTTGGTTGTGAGCTGATTTGTCGTTTTGCCCAGGACGATGAAGGTTGGATCGGACGGCAGCGCACATACAATCTTTGGTTGCAAAGGATGGTGGGGGTTGGGTCGTATGGATGGGCGCGAAGTTGACGCGATAACCGCATTTTGGAAACGATCCCGCTCCCATCTTTGAAACCGTTGCAAGCTTTTAACGCGGCGTTGTGGGGAGAGCCGCACCTTTGGCAGACTTCAAGTCTCATGATCATGATGTGCGACGAAGTTTCAGACGAAACGCCATGGCTGGCCTACGGAAGCGTCTGGTGGCGCGGCAGAAAAAGGGAGGATGAGGGCGAGGAGGATGAGGATGAAGAGGCTTCTTGGGGCCTCTTGGAGGCTTCCCGGGAGCCTCTCCAAGGCTGGACCCGGAGGGCGCGGCGCCGTGGGCCGAGTTGTACGCCGTGGACGCGTCCGTGGGCCTATCGAGGTCGGCCGCGTACCGCGACGGGAGTTTGTACGGCGTGGACGCGGCCTCCGTCTTCTAGAAGAAGAGAGAGTCGCACAAACACATTTCTGTGCAGGCATTGGATAAAGAACCAATGATGAGAAATCGAGGGCCTCGGACAAGAACTGAGGCTTCGCCTCGGATATCACCGCCGCCTTCAGCAGATAAGGCATCCTTCGAGGTCTGATGCCACTTCGGCACATTCCTTCACGAACGCCTCCACCGTTCTGGAGGTCTGCGCAGATTTCTTTGCATCGGCGCTGGACCCATCTGGCGGCGCCTCTGGCGCCACCCTTGGCGCGGTCAGCGCGTTAGGGGCGGGGTGCCCAGCACCGATACAAGGAATCCGCGCGGAATTCCGGAGGTCTATGTTTGTTCAGCTTTCTCTTCTTCTCTCCTCGCGGTCCTTTGCCTCGGCGCGCAGCCGGGCGATTGGGTGCTGGACCTCTGCTGCGCCCCCGGGGCGAAGCTCTGCGCCGCGTGCGACGCCGTGCAGCCGGGGGGCGGGGTGGCCTCGGGCGAACAGAGCTGTGCACATGCATTGGCCCCGATCGGGCCCATCCAGGCCCCAGGATCGGTGCATACGCTTCCCCTGCCAGGCAAGGTGGGCGTGTGCACCGATTTTGGGCCACTGATGGGCCTGGTCAGAGGTGGGTTCGCAGTCTTCCAGCGTTGTGTTTTTTCATGGGGCTCGGCTTTGGGCCCGAGGCGCTCTTATGAGGATGCCAAAAGTCAGTGCGGGCTGTCGTGGCCTGTAGGGCTGCCCTCCCGCTGCGGTCCGGCGCGGCGCAGCTTCTTGAGCCGCCGGCGCCGCGGCCGCTTCCTAGTGTACTTCTCGCAAGGTGGACTTCCAGAGGTCTGTCCCGGGACCAGCCTTTCGCTCCAAGCCCTTCTTTGACGGTCCCAGGGCCCTGCGAGGGCCCCTTTTCACGACGCGGGGGAGGGAGCGGTCGAGGAACAGGAAATGATCTACACCTTCGGCGATGCTTAAGAAAACTTGAGTTTTCGTCCAGAGTCTCGATTATTCTTAATGTTTCAATGTAAATCCTAAGATTTTGATAGAAATTTTGGGTTTTTATTCAAGTTCTGAGACTATGAATTTCTTAACCCATGATTTCTTAAGCATTTCGCAGGGTGTACACAGAAACTCTCTGAGGTCCGCGCGCGGGTTCCTGAACCCGCGCTAGGCCCCCCTGGCGCGCGGCGCCAGAGGCGCCGCCAGCGGGGCCTGGCGCCGAGCCGGGAGGTCCGCGCGGAGCTCCGACGGTTTAGGATTGCTCCCCGTTTGCGATTCTCGAGGAGGGCAGCAATCGCGGAACGAAAACATTTGATGGATATTCAGATGGTAATATTATCGGGGGACGAAATCTATACATATCCACTGCTCCCTGGCCAGGCCCATCCTGAACCCAGGAGCTGTGTATACGCCCTCCTGGCCAAACCAGGAGGGCGTGGCGTATACACAGCTGCTGTGTTCAGGATGGGCCTGGCCAGGGAGCAGTGGATATAGATAGATTGCGTCGCCCTATATTAGTTCACCATGATCTACACCACCTTCAAATTCAGTACCTGATAGACCTGTAATGCAAACATGCCATTCAAATGAATTGTTCTAATGAGGGAGACCGAGTACAAAACGGAAGCGGGGAACACAGCTGAATGAGGTCGAGCACTGGCTGGGTTCCCTCTTCTCTCCAGTGGTGTCGAGACCGTCAGAGGCGGCTCGTGAGCTCTTTTTTTTCATCTCCGTCAAAGGTAACACCTCAAGCCCTGCGGCGCGGTGCATTACCGCCTGACGATTCGAAGTTTCTGAGCGCACTTTGTTGTGCTTGCCGTCCGATGCCCTGAGCAGCGACCGCCCCGCGTCTGCCCCGATCCTGGGCGCACGGCGCGGCCTCTGCAAACGCGCGCCGCCGGCTGCCTCCTGCGGAATCTACGTCGGCGTGGGGTTCCGGAAGAGGGTGCTTTTGTGCAACGGTCGGCCCCTCGAGAGGAGAGCAGCAAGCGCGAAGCGAGGCCGCGCGAGGGACAGCCGACAGCAACACGACCACGGAGAACGCTGTGCCGGTCGAGCCCTGGTTGGGTCTGCTTCTCCTCGCACAGGAAAGGGTGGGCAACGAACGCGGCAGGAGAGGAATCGGGGGCGGAAGAGAGGGGGGTGATGACTAGGGGGGGGGTGGATATCTTGGCGTGGGCCATGAGATCTCCCCAGATTTCGTGGCGCCTCTTCTTGTTTCATTGCGTCCCCGGCCCCCCCGCTGGGCCGCGCACGTGCCGCCGGTCATGATTTGCCCCCCCCCCCCCTCCTCTCTTGGACGCCCCCCCTCTCTTGGCCGCCCCCGGCAGAACAGGGTGGGCAAACGAGAGCGGCACGGGAGGAAGCGAGGGAGCACGCACGCACACAGCAGAAACGAAGCACAGGGCTGGGGCCGAGCCCTCAGGTGTCGACGATCCCAGGAAAATATGGGAAAATATGGGAGGTGGGGGGGAAAACAAAAACCCAGAAAATATAGGAAAATGTGGGGATCCAGTTATTCGTGTGTCTTTATTTGTGTGTCCCAGGGCCCCTTTACTCAGGTGGTGGGCGTGGACCTGTCGGAGCAGCGGCTGGCCGCGTGCCGCACGGTCGTGAAGAAGTACGGCCTCCAGGGCGTGGCGCGCCTCTCGCTCGGCGACGGGGCGGCCTGGCGGCCCTCGGCGGCCTCGTGGCTGGACCTGGACCCGCCGCGCGGGCGCGGGCAGCGCGGCCGCAAGATCGGGGGCGTCCGAGGGGGGGGGGGGCGAGGGCCGTCGAAGCAGGGAAGAGACGCCGTCTGCGCGCGATCGCCCGTGCCACGGATGTGTGTATGTGTGTGTAGGTGTGCGTGTGTGTGTGTGCGTGCAGGCGTATCTGTCTGTGGGCGCGTTTGCCTCCGTGCCATCGGTTCTGTCAGGGAGTGCTTCCAGGTCGCCCGGCCAGTGCCGGGGGGCACCGTGGCGGTGAGGACGAGTGCCGCCTGCGGGTCCCGCGCGTCGAGGCATGGGCAACGTGCTGAGGTGGGTCGGACCGTTCCGCACGAGGCATCCTCACAGGGCTGCGTTCCGAGACGGCCAGATTTGACATGTTCCGGTCCGTTTCGCTTGAAGCATCCTCGCAATTCTGGGCTCCCAGACGCTGCGCAAGAGGTGATCTGGCCCATTTCGCCCGAAGCGTTCTCCAAACTTCTGGGCTCGGGGATACCGTGACCTGAGGTTGCCTCGCCCGTTTCGCTTGAGACATCGCCGCTACACTAGGCTTCAAGGTGCCGCCCGCGAGCTCATTCTGTCTGTTTTGCCTGGGACGTCCCCGCAATTATGAACAAAGAAATGCCGCGTGCGAGGGGGTCCAGCCAGTTTCGCATGAGACGTCCCCGCAATTCCGAGCAACAGTTGAGGAGCGCGAAGCGAAGAAGGAAGGGGAGGAGGAGTAGCAGGATGACTGAGGACGAGGGGAAGGAAGGATAATGCTCGCAATGCTGTCAGATAACCCGAGTTAGGCACTCTTGTTTTCCATGCTCTCGGGACAAATCTTGTCGCCAGGGCTGGACACGGCTCGATCGTGCCTGGTGATGCGGGCCGGTGCTCTGCCGACGAAGGGTGTAATACGGGCACGTTCGCGCCCAGATTGTGGGGCTGTCTCGGACGGTTCGCTTGTTTTACGGGGTGGAGGTGTGTTTCGGAGCCGTATGGTCCTCGCTGGCCACTTCGGTTGGCTTTTGGGGCTGTTTTGGGCCCCATCCAGGGCTTGCCTTGGCTGGCGAGGGGGCAACGCACCTGAGCCCCGGTGCCCGGATTCGGGCGACCCCTGCAACCCCAACGGCGGTGCTGGGGAGATGCCTGGGAGGGGTTGCCCTCAAAAGAGCTGGGTGCGCCCCATGGCCCACAGAGTTATCCTCGGAACCTCGGGCTTCGAGATGCCCTGACTTGATGTGCTCTGGCTCGTCTCGCTTGAGACGTCCTCGCACTTCTGGATTCCAACGATGTGACAGAGTGGGTGCTTGGGCTGACCCAGGTGCTGGAGGAAGTTGGGGACCAATAGAAAGCGACAGAGCAAATGAGAAGTCGCCATATGTATATGTAAATGTATATGCATATGTATATGTATCTGCGTATGTATATGTTATGTGTATGTAGATTTAATATGTCTATGCGTATATGTGTATATATATATGCAGCTGTATATGTATATGTATATGTATGTGGATATGTATATGCGTATGTATATGTATATGTATATGTGTATGTGTATGTGTATGTGTATGTGTATGTGTATGTGTATGTGTATGTGTGTTTGTGTGTGCACGTAGGCATGTGTGTACGTGCATGTGTTTGTTCATATTTATGTATATATGTAGGCATGTGTGTATACATGTACGTACTTGTGTGTACATGTCTAATTACATGATCATGCCTATGCGTATGGAGTTGTGTATGCATAGACATAACTATGTGTGTGTGTATAGATATGCGTATATGTTTATGGTTATGCCTATGCGTACGTTTATGTTTATGTATATGTATTCGGCTATGTCCATGTCTCTCTACATGTATATGCATATGAGTATGTACATGTATATGTCTATGTCTGCATATGTGCATGTGTATGCCTCTGTGCATGCATACGCCAATACATGTGTATGCGCATCTGTATGTGTACACGCATGTGTATATGTGTGTATGTATCTGTGACTGTGTGTATACAGGTTTATGCTTATGTGTCTGTGCACCCATATACATATGTGTAAACATACGTATGCATCTGCAAGTGTCCTTTGTGTAATGTTTATCGAGATGTATGATCATGGTTATATGACGATGCCGGTGTCTATGTATGGGTATGTGTATATGTGTTGCATGTGCATGTATATGCACAATTATATGTACATGTAGACGTATGTGTGTCTGTGTGTGTGTCGTTCTATATGCCTATGCACACGTCTACGCCTCGGAATATGCATATGCAGTTGCATACACACACGTGTATGTTCATGCAATTGTGTTTGCATGCGTATGTGTGTAGGCATGCATCTGCGTATCTATATTTACATTTGTACATGTGTAACTGTACGGATATGTTCAGTTACATGTGTATATGTATAGGTATACGTCTAAGTGCTTTCCATGCATGGGTATCTGTAGGTTTTTTTTATCTATATGTGTCAGAGTATGTACATGTTCACTATCTGTATATGCGTATATAGATGTACATTCCTCCGCACATGTACATGTATGTATGTATATATACATATACACCGATGTTTGTATACATACACCGATGTTGGTAATTGTATGTCTTTGTATACGTATGGGTGGATACGGTTGCATATGTATATGTATACGATATGTGTATGTCTGCATCTGTACGTGCAAATGTAAAGGTATGACTACACATGTCTGCAGATGTATGGGTCTACGTATATGGATACGTGTATCACTATGTATACAAATGTGCGTATGTGTATATATGTTTGTGATTACGTATGTATACATGTATGTTTGTGTATGTATGTATGTATGTATGTATGTATGTATGTATGTATGTATGTATGTATGTATGTATGTATGTATGTATGTATGTATGTTTAATATATATATATATATATATATATATATATGTGTGTGTACATTTTTTTTGAGTCGGCCCCGGGGGATGCACGCACTGGTGCCGCAGTGCCGCATGGGGGGGCCAAACGAGCCTCGACCGGCCAAACATGCCCCCAAGGGGGACCTGAGGGCACCAAAACGCTCCCAGCACGCCTACCAGTACTTCGAGACGGTCCAGGTGGCATCGAAGACGCCCTGAGAGAGCTTCAAACTGCTTTCCGAGAGAGGCCGAAGGGGCGAAAATCAATAATTCTTTGCGGTTCTCCAAGGATTGTCGTGGGGTCGCTTGCTCCGCTGCCCGACGCCCAGAGACGGCACAAGAGGCGTCCAGGAGGGCCGCAACACATCCCAAGATGGCGCCAAGGCGGCCCAAGAGGCGCCCAAGACCGCCCGATATGGCTCAAGGCGGCTCCCCAAATCAGCTTGGACACGCCACAGGGGCCCTGAAGGAGGTCCAGAGTGCCCCAAAACGGCCCCAGCGCGACCGCCATTGCTTCGATGCGGCCCGCGAGGCTTCCAAGATGGCTCAAGAGGGCTCCAGTTTGCCCTCCGTGAGGGCCCCAGCAAGCACAAATCATTGTTTTCAGGGATTTTCGCAAGGTCGCCCGAACCGCTTCCCGACGCTCCGAGACGGCACAAGAGGCGTCCACGATGGCCTCAACACGCCCCAAGAGAGCGCCAAAGCAGGCTCAGAGGTGCCCAAGCTGGCCCAAGATGGCTCAAGGCGGCTCCCAAACGAGCCTGGACACGCCAAGAGGGCCCTAAAGGAGGCCCGCAGGGCCCTCAACTGGCCCTAGACCGCCCTTTAATCATGGCTCCGAGGCTGCACACGAGGCATCCACTACGCAACCAGAGGGCTCCAAGCTGCTCTCCGGGAGAGCCCCGACAGGCAGAATTCACCCGGTCGTGTGGTCCGCCTCACGACGCTCGGAGACGGCACAAGAGGCGCCCACAAGATAGCCCCCACCCCAACACACCCAAAGAGGGCTCCACGGCGAGCCTGGGTATCCCGAAGGGGTGCTGCACGCGGCCGAGGAGCCCCAAGACTGCTCCCCAAATGAGCCTCGACACCCCGAAATGGCCCGAAAGAGGCCTTTACGAGGGCCCCCCACACGGCCGCAATCATCGCGTTCCCGGAGAGCCTTCCGGGAACGCGGTTGTCGCCTCCAGAGATCGGAGCAAGATGTTCTCCAGCATTTTCCCGTTGTTGTTCGTTCCGCTTGCCGACGCTCCAGCAGTGCCCGATGACACTCCCCAGGTTGCAATCCATTTCACTAAGAGGGCGCCAAGGCGTCCCAGGAGGCGGCCAATCTGGCCCAAGTGACCCCAAGACTACCCAAGGGCTCTACATGCGGCCGAGGATGAGGAGGAGGAGGATGAGGAGTAGGAGGAGGACCAGTGGAATCCCAAGACTCATCAACGATGATAGGATGCACCCTCTCTCCCAGCTCCCTTTTCATAGGCCCCGTACAAGGGTTAACTTCCACTGAGGGAAGTGCCCCGTTGGGAGGCAACCGTGTGAACATCCTGAAGCCACGACACGAGTCAATCTGACTGTGGCGTCTTGACGATCCTGAATCGCGCCAGAACGCCGTTCCTGCGATTTCAGCATTGCGAATCAATTTAGTCGTTGCGCCCTGACAATATCGACTCCTTCGACAACACCATTCCTTCGAAGGTTAACCATGATAACCCGCGAATGTCCTGCATTGTGGTCAAAAGAATGCGCGCGGCAGTAGGGCGATACCCACATTTTGAAAAGGAGCCGCTGTTACTCCTTGAAGCTCTCGCAAAGTTTCAAGACGAATGCGCTGTGTAACTGTTGCAATTGTTTAAGACGAGTGTACGCGGTGCTAAGGCAACCGACAACCACATTTTGAAAACGACCCGCCGTCAATCCGCGAAGCTCTTGTATGTTTTAAGACGAGTGTGCGCGGCGCGAAGGCGAGAGCCACATGTTGAAAACCACCCGCCCTCAATCCGTGAAACTCTTGCAAATGTTTAAGGCGATGGTGGGCGGCGCTACGGCGAGAGCCACATTTTGAAAACCACCCGCCCTCAATCTTTGAAGTTCTTGTAATTGTTTAAGACGAGTGTGCGCGGCGCGAAGGCGAGAGCCATCTTTTGGTAGCGGCCCGCATTCCATGTGTGAAGCTGTGGTCACTTTCTAAGCTTCGGCTTCATGGTAGCGAGTTTTCAGGCGAAACGCCCGGTCTGCACTTCCGACTGGCCTCTTCGGGGTGCGACAAGGAGGAGTTATTCATCAGGAAAATGATGGAAGAGGAGGAGGAGGAGGGGAGAGGAGGAGGAGGAGGAGGAGGAGGAGGAGGCGGAGGAGGAGGAGGAGGAGGGCAGGGAGAACAGGGAGGAGGAGAAGAAGACAAGGAGGAGGAAGACGAGGAGGACAAGGAGGAGGAGGACGAGGAGGAGGAGGAGGAGAAGGAGGGGGATGAGGGAGACGAGGAGGGAGCAGAAGAAGGAGGAGGAAGGAGGAAGGAAGACGAGGGGAGAGGAGGAGGAGGAGGAGGCGGAGGAGGAGGCCTAGAGGGAGACGGTGGGCGGAGACGGGATGAGGATGAATATCAGGATGGCAAGCAGGAGGAGGAAGAGGAGGAGGAGGAGGAGGAGGAGGAGGAGGAGGAGGACGAGGAGGGCGGACGGAACGAGGAGACCGAAGGCGAAGATGGCAGCGCACCCCGTACTCCGCTGTTGCTCTCTCCATCCTTCCTGCTTTCTCAGGTCGCTCAAAGACGGGTCAAGAGGCTTCTAAGAGGGCCCCAATCTGGCATAAACCGTCGTCTTCCCTGGGGGGCTTTCCGGGAACATGATTGTCTCCCGCGAGAGCCCCAAGCTGCCCCAGACACCCGCCAGGCGCCTGAAGGCGACCCACCGAACCCCCACGACGCTGTCGTAACGCAGGAACACATGATTCATCATGGTTTCAATTTGCTTGTTGGACCTCTTTGTTCTTCCGTGTTCCAGGCGTCCGAGACCGCCCAGGAGACCCGCACATCGTCCAACAACTACCCATAAGCGCGTCCTGGCAGTCCAAGTGAAGTCCAAGGCGGCCCAGCAGGGCCCCGAGATGGCCCGAAGAAAGCCCCACGACGGCCCGAGGGGGCCCCAAGACGCCCCCCGAAGCATTATTCTAAATCGCGACTTCGTCGTTCGGGGAGACCGCGGTTGGAAACAGGGTGGCTCGAGGAACCCCACTGAGGCTCCCAGATGGTGCCCAGGAGGCCTCCAGAAGACCCCACGAAGTCGTTCAACCTCTTGAGCGATCCCCCCAGATGAACCTGCTCAAAAAGAGCTGGAGAGGATGGGGACTAATTCGCATGGTAGGGCGAGAATAAGAGAGAGGAGCAGGAAACACGAGGGACGAGTGTCGGATCACAGTAGTATCGCGAGAATGTCCGAAATGAAACAAGGAGTTATCGTTCAATTATCAGTTTACCGTCATGCTCTCCCGCCTGCATGCCAGACTTCCAAGGACCAAGGTGCATGGCGCGAAGCGCCAGTGTAGTCATGTGTGTATAGTGTCATGTATGTACATCGTCATGTATGTGTGTGTATATATACACACCGAATGTGAGGGGGTAAGAGCGCAGTGAAACGGAACACCCCCCACCACGAAAGCTGTCTCGGTTTCGTGTTCGTGTCGTGCGTGCAGGCGATGCGACGCTGCGTAGGCGGCGAGAGGATTGAAACCTCCTCTGGCTATGGCGCCGCCGGGCCAAAAGACCGCCGCCCCTGGGCTGTCTTTCGGTGGCCGGGGGTGTCCTGCGGTGTCCTGCCAGTGTCCTGTCGGTGTCCCTTCGGTGTCCCGTCGGTGCCTCGTCGGTGTCTCGTGGTGAGATGAATAGTGAGAGCGGTAGTGAGACCCATAGTAAGACCGATAGTTAGATCGCTCGTTACATCGGTAGTGACTCAGGTGGCAGGATCGATAGTGAGATACATCGTGTTATCGATAGCTATTGCGATCGTAAGATCGGTGGTGAGATCGATAGTTCGATCGAACGTGGTGTCGATTGCGAGAACGATAGTGCGAGGGATATTGAGATCGATTGTGAAAGCAATAGTGGGATCCATTGGGATATTGATCGTGCGAGCGATTGTGAGATCGATAGTGAGATTGATAGTTCGTTCGATCGAATGAGATCTATCGTGATATCGACAGTGAGACCGATATGTTGGTCAATAATGAGATCGATAGTGAGATCGATTGTGAGAAGGATAGTGAGATCGAGTGAGGGATCGATAGTGGGATCGATAGTGGGATCGATAGTGGGATCGATGGTGAGATTAATTGTGAGAGGGATAGTCAGATCGATTGTGAGATCGATAGTGGGATCGATAGTGGGATCGATATTGGGATCGATTGTGAGATAGATAGTCAGATCGATTGTGAGATCGATGGTGAGATCGACCGAGTGAGATCGACTGTGGTATCGATACAGATATCGAAAGTGAAACCGATAGTGAGATCGATAATGAGATCGATCGTGAGATCCATCGGGAGATCGACGGTAAGATCGAGAGTGAGATCGATAGGGAGATCGACAGTACGATCGATCGTGAGATCGATCCTGAGATTGATTGTGACATCGATAGTGAGATCCATAAAGAGATCGATAGTGAGATCGTTTGAGTGAGACGTTGGTTCTTTCTCCCCCGAACCTCCTCCTCACCCGAAGGGTGGTCGTACAGCTGGCGACAACGGGCGTGACCAGAAGCGTCACGATTCGCGCCGGCGCCGTTTGGGCATGCTCAGGAGTGGCTGATTCCTAGACGGCGCCGGTGCGAATCATGACACGACCACGGGTCGGGGGACGGGGGCAAGGCGCGAGGACCATCAAGAAGCGGTCGGGCTCACGGCGGGAGGCGTCTTTGGCCACTCGCGGCGAGAGAAAAGGAGGGGCAACCCATCGAAGCAAGAAGCATCCGCGCTGCACATTAGGCTTCCGGGGGCCCGCGCGGGCCGCCGTGCGTCCAGGGCGGGGGGGGGATAGGGGCATCGAAACGAGAACAGTCGGAATGCTCATGAATCGTTCTCACCATTCACCAAACCACCCCAACCCAACCCGAAGGCTCAGATCTGCCCTCGATTTCTAGTGGGGGGGGGTGTCCGGGAACATCGAAAAAACACCTATGGAGCCCATACCAGGGCTCGTTTCGATTCCCCCGATTCGATTCGATTCGATTTCGATGGTTTCCGATTCCGATTCGATTCGATCTGGGGCTCCGATTTGAGTTCCGATTCCTTATTGGAGGCATACTAGCCTGCCGATTTCTGCCGATCCGACTTTTCCCGACTCAGCTGCCGATGTCCGACGATCCGATTCATGTCGATCGCCGATCCGACTTGTCGATCCGATCCTGGGCTCTCCTGCCATACCCCCCCAGCCCGAAAGATTTGGGTCTTCGGGTGGGGTTGGGGTGGTCTGGTAGGTGGTCACGTCTGGAGCCCGCGGCGCGACACCCCCGTGCAGCGTGTGGCTCAAGAGGGGGCCCCAGGGGAAGGGGGCTCTGGAGGAGGAGGAGGAGGAGGAGGAGGAGGAGGAGGAGGAGGAGGAGGAGAAAGGGGAGCAGAGAGGAGAAGGGAGGAGGAGGAGGAGGAGAAGGAGCAGGAGGAGGAGGAGAGGAGGAGGAGGAGGAGGAGGAGAGGAGGAGACGGCGGTGCCGATTTCTCAGGTCCGCTCGGCTTCGCCCACGAGGTCGCTCGGGTCGGGCGAAAGGGGGGGATTGGGAAAGGGGGGGTTACGAAATTTGCTGCATGCAGCTGGTTTCGGCCACACCGAGGGGCCCATTCCTCGACACATAGCCGCCTCCGGCGCCGGGAGGCGCCGGGGAAATCAGCTACGCGAGCTGATTCTCAACCCCCCCCTTTGCTATCCCCCCCTTTCGCCCGGCCCGAGTCGCCGCGTGACGCTTTCACTCCATTTATGGAGGTCTCCAATGCAGCGCCGCGGTCTCAGAGGTCCCTGTCGCTGGCGTCCCTGGAGGAGGCGTGTCAGGGAACGCGCTTGATGTCCCCAGCGAGGGAGGGAGGAGGGGAGGAGGAAGAGCACTTGGAGCCTCTCGGGCGCACATCTGGTCCACGGACGGGGATCCGCACAAGCATCCTCTTTGTCAAGTCCGCTCCGGTTTCTTGGGGTCGGCGCTGGCCCCCCTGGCGGCGCCTCTGGCGTACACCCTGCGAAATGCTTAAGAAATCATGGGTTAAGAAATTCACAGTCTCAGAAATTGAATAAAACCCAGAACTTCTATCAAAATCTTGGGGTTTACATTCAAAAGTTAAGAATAATCGAGACTCTGGCCGAAAACTTAAGTTTTCTTAAGCATCGCCTAGGGCGCAGCCCCTCGCGCGCTCTGGTCCGGCGAGCGCCGGTCCAGGAAGTCCGCGCGGACCTCCGATGGCTTATGTTTTTACCCCAGAGTTTCGATTTCTCGGCGAGGGTTGAGTGGATGTCATGGCCCAGGCCATGAGGTTTTCCAGATGTCTCATGGTCCCCGCCTTCCGCTTTCAGCGCCGCCCCCCCCCCGGCCCCCGCCCCCGTCCGCGCGGGTGGTGGCTGGGCATCGGCTGGTGGGCAGGGACCAGCGGGCCAGAACTCGTGAAGGCGCTCGCGACAATTGCCATATTGGGCTCAAGGGCACCAAGAAAGCAGCACGTGCCCTGCCCCAACCGCAAAGCGTAAGCACCTTCTGGGGGGGTCTGGGGGCGCAGCCTAGTTGGACCCCCAAGTGGTTTTCTGATAGAGGCCTCCCCGATGGGGTTCGAGTAGATGGGCTTTGAGAATCGCGCCGCATCGCCGATGCATCGCCTGCGATGTTTCGGCGACGCGGCGCGATCTGGGAGGCCTACGTCTGAGCCAGCCCGTGCTTGGGCCCCGGACCATGGTTCGCCCCCCCCCTTCTTCGGGCGCGCCCGACAAGAAACGGCGGCTGGCGGCCGCCACAGCCGCGGCTGCGGCCGGGGCCGCCGCGGAGGAGGCTGCCGAGGATCGGGGGAGGCAAGTCGGCATAGCCAGTATCCCCGGGCCTCCCAAGTCGGGTCGGAGTAGACGGGGACGAAGGATCGCACCGCATCGCCGATGCGTCTGCGATGCGGCTCGATGCGGAGCCCGATTTTATCCACGCCGGCGTCGCCGATGCATCGGTGATGCCTCCACGATGCGGCGCGTTCCTCCGACCCCATCTGCCCAGACCCCGTCTGGGAGGACGCCGGCACAGACACCTTTGGCGGCCCTCGCAGGGCCCCATGCGCCGTCAGAAAACGACTTCAGGCTGGAATGCAGATCCGGAGTTCTGGGCGCCTGCGCTGCGAGAGAGCGCGACGGCGGCGGAGTTCTGTGGAGCAGAGACGTCAGGGAGAGGATCGCCCTTTTGGACGTGACAGCACAGCACCTGGCATATAGGGACATGAGCTCTCGGAGGTCCGCGCGGACCTCTGGGGTCGGCGCCGGGCCCTCCTGGCGGCGCCTCCAGCGCCGACCAGGGGGCGATCCGCGCGCCAAGGGAGGGGGGCCCTCGGGGGTGGACCGACCTCCTGCCCCGCCACGTCGATCAGCGAATTGGCCGCTTTCGGCTCGCGAGGGGGCGTCGCGGCCGCCCTTTTTGCGGGTCCGGGTCCGTCGGTTTCGGTCCCGGGCCGTTTTCACTAAGGGGTGGTTTACTAAAGGGCGGTCTGTGCACCGCCGAGGAGCCGTCCCGAGCGCCCGCCAGGAACCCAAGGCGTGACCCGAAAGCCAGACGACCAGGGCCACTGAGGGCGGGTCCAGGTCCGTCGGTTTCGGTCCCGGGCCGTTTTCACTAAGGTGGGGTTCCCTAAAGGGAGCTTTGTGCACCGCCGAGGCCCAGCGCCGATCCAAGGAGTCCGCGCGGACCGAGGGCTCACGTGCTTCTGCCGGCATCTCTTCTTCCCGAGGATCGGGTATAGCCAGGACCATGGTGGAGGGGGACCCGGTTAGTGGTATAGGGCCCTGGGGCCCATCAATTGGCCAGGCTCACTGAACCAGGTTTGCCGCCGTAACCGGTGTTTTTCGGGTGACGGCAGTCCCAGTTAGCGGAACGAGGCGGGGGGGGGCGCCCCCCGGTACACATCACTAAACCAGGTTCCACGAAACCCAGTTCTGCCAGCGCCCGAGAGGAGGCAGGAGCTCAGACGGCCGACGGCTGCCCCGCCGTCTTCGACCGCGTCCTCGTGGACGCGGAGTGCACGCACGACGCCTCGCTGCGGCACCTGCAGAAGTTCGCCACGCAGTGGGGCTGGGACACCCTGGGCGAGCGGGTGCCGTGGGTGCGGCGGGAGGGGCTCTTCCAGCTGCAGTCCTCGCTGCTCGCGAACGGCTTCTCCCTGCTGCGCGAGGGCGGGACGCTGGTGTACTCGACGTGCTCGCTCTGCCGGTCCCAGAACGAGGATCCTCGCCGAGCGCGCTCCACTGCTCGCAGAGTGCCTACTCGCAAGCTTCCGAGATATACAGGTCTCCCCTCCTGTGCAACATCTCGTAGATCCCCCGCCGCAGATCCAGGCAGTGTGCGAGCAGTTGATCTGCGAGCAGTGGCGCGCCTGTCCGGATCCGATCGAGCGAGACCTCCGGACGTCTTCGGCGCTTTCTCAGGCTCGGGATGCTCTCCAGGAACATTCGCCTCGCCGAGGGCGTTCCGGGGGGTGCCCGTAACTCGGGGGTGGACCGGCCTCCTACCCTGACACGTCGATCAGCGAATTGGCCGTTTTCGGTTCGCGAGGGGGCGTCGCGGCCGTCCTCTTTGCGGGTCCAGGTCCGTCGGTTTCGGTCCCGGGCCGTTTTCCCTAAGGGGTGGTTTGCTAAAGGGAGGCTTGTGCACCGCCGAGGAACCGTCCCGAGCGGCCGCTGGGAACCCAAGGCGTGACCCGAAAGCCAGACGACCAGGGCCACTCGGGGCTGACGAGGATGAGAGTCTGTCGAGGGTCGGGTATAGCCAGGGCCCCGGGTGAGGGGGCCCGGTCAGTGGTGGGGCCCTGGAGTCCCTGAATCGGCCAGAGTCGCTAAGCCAGGCCTGCCGTAGCTGGTTTTTTTGCGGGTGGCGGCAGTTCCGGGTAGTGGCACGGGGCGGGGGGGGCGTCCCCCAGTACACATCACTAAACCAGGTTCTGCTAAACCCAGTTCTGTCAACGCCCGAAAGGGGGGCGATGAAATCTGCTGCAGGCAGTTGGTTTCAGTTCCGCTGCCATGCCCTTCCCTCAATTCTGCGAGCAATTTCGCACTCCACCCCTGCGGGTCCACTCGGCGGTGGAGTATGAGACACCGCCGCAGGGAACTTGGCCCTCAGGGATAGGGTTCACTTGTGGTTGCCGATCGATGCGTTGGCGACTCTGGCGCCATGAGGTACCAGAAAAATCAGCTACTCCAGATTTCGTAATAAAGGGAGGGGGGTCTCATTTCGGGGGGGGTCTCTTCCAGGCTATCTTGGAGGGCCTGGGGGGTCTGGGGACGATGTTTTGGAGGGTTCTCCCACGGGGGAGGTCTGAAATGGCTTGTCTTGGAGGGTCCAGACCCCCTCCCTTTTATTACGAAATCTGGAGTACGTGAGCTGATTCGCTCATGCTCTACCTCACCTTCGGTCCGACCCGACACTCCTGACCAGGACCATTCTGGGCCTTGTGTTGGTTCGTATCTCAGCTGCCCGCGGCAAGTTCTGCCACCGCGCCATCCCATCCCAGGATTTTTGGGTGGCGACTGTTCGAGGGGGCACGGGGGGCCGTCACGTGTGACAGCTCGTGTGTCCAGGCTCTGGAGAGCCGAGACGAGGATGACGATGCGGATTCTGCGCTTGTGATGGAAATGATGTCGAGGACGGCTCCCGCTCGCTACTCCCTTGTTTCTTTACTCAGGACCAGTGCTCCCGCCTCGGCGCCGCAGACGGCCCCCCCTGCAAAAAACGGCGTTCCCACTCGATACTTCCTCTTATTTTCCTCAAGACTCCTCCTCCTCCTCCTCCTCCTCCCTCCTCCTCCTCCTCCTCCTTCCTCCTCCTCCTCCTCCTCCTCCTCCTTCCTCCTCCTCCTCCCCTCCTCCTCCTCCTCCTCCTCCTCCTCCTCCTCCTCCTCCTTCTCCTCCTCCTCCTCCTCCTCCTCCCTCCTCCTCCTCCTCCTCCTCCTCCTGGTCCTCACGAGTGCAGCATCCACTCTCGGAGGTCTGCACCGGTCCGCGCCTTCCTGGCGCGCTCCGCGTGCCAGGGGCGGCCCAGGAACCCGCGGCGGCGAGCCCGTCGTCCTGGTCGTCGTCGTCGTCCTCCTCCTCCTTCTTCTCCTCCCCCCTCGTCTTTCTCCTGCTCCTCCTCCTCCTTCTCCTCCTTCTCCTCCTGCTCCTCCTCCTCGTTCTTCTCCTCCTCCTTCCTCCTCCTTCTCCTGCTCCCTCCTCTTCTCCCTCCTCTTCCCGAGGCCCATAAGCTCCTCCGATCCAGACCTTCCCCAGGAATGCCCAGAGGCCTCCTTCAAGAGGCCCCGAAGCCTTCCGGCAGCTTTGAAGCGTCTTCCAGGGACCCTCCTGATTCCCACCGGAGCTCTGAAGCTTCTCTGAGAGGCTCTGGGCAATCTCCAACGTGCTCCAGAGGCTGTCCAAGGGTTTCCCGGGGCTCTCCCAGAGGTTGTGGAGCCTCTGTCAGAGGTTTTGGGCCATCCGGGCGTGGTGATACCTGATGCGAGACATGGGCAGGGCGATTGCGAAGGCGATGTACCATCCGAGCTGGAGGTGTTGAAGTTCCACGGAAGAAGTGTTGCCAAGACCTCCTCGGCCCCCTTGTGCAAGATCTTCTCGGACCCCCCTGTGATGGGTGCATGATGCATATAGAATCATAGATGATGTTATTGATCCACCTTTCCGGTAACCGTTGTATTTTTCTATTGAAATGCCTCCCTCGGAGTTCGCACCCGTTTTTTTTCAAATGGAAAGCTTCGTGGCACCAAAGTGCGCTGTTGGGCCCCGCACAAAAACAATGGCTCCCGCTTGATTTCCCTACAAAAACCGCTCTCTCGCGCGGGACTTCCTCACAAGTTATGCAGGAATCGCGCTCTCGCGTGGGACTCCGTCACAATTTATTCAGTCGCCGCGCCCTCGACACTCAGGAATCATGCTCTCGCTTTGGCCTTCCTTGCGATTTGCTTGGGCACCGCGCTATCAGTCGAGCTCTCCTCGCGATTCATGCAGTACCCACGCTTCAGCAACACGCCTTCTCGACCTGGCCGCTTGGGCCCGCCTTCCCGACCCTCCCGTTAGGGTCTACCGCCCGATGGGCCCGTCTGGTTCTGCCACGTGTTTTTCTGCGCCCAGCCTCCTTTCAGCGAGTCCCGTGCTCCATCCTTTTCCCTCCCGCTTCCATCCGTCCTCTCTTTCCCTGTTTCAGAGGCTGCGGCAATTACACGTGGCAGGTGAGGAAGATACACCGCCAGGGGAGTACGATCGAAAACGAAAGGACGGGTACCTGCAGTTTGGGATATACGCGTTGAATGGCACGCGAGCAGGTAAGAGCGAACAGTTGTTGCTATTGTTATTGTTGTGGTTGTGGTTGTGGTTGTTGTTGTGGTTGTTGTTGTTGTTGCTGCTGCTGCTAGCTTCTGTTGTTGTTGCTGTTGTTGTTGTTGTTGTTGTTGTTGTTGTTGTTGTTGTTGTAATTGTTGTTGTTGTTGGTTGTGTAAGTGTTGTTACTGTTGCTGTTGCTGTTGCTGTTGCTGTTACTGTTGTTGTTGCTGTTGTTGTTGTAATTGTTGTTGGTGTTGTTGTTGTTACTGTCGTCGTTGTCGTTGTTGTTGTTGTTGTTGTTGTTGTTGTTGTTGTTGTTGAACATTATTTATTCTAAAGAATAATTATTGTTGGGCCCCCTGGTGCGCGCCCCCCCTGCGCCGCCTAGGCCGCAGCTACATTTTCATCATTTTCGTGAGGAAGCCTCAGAAAAGAGGGTGTGTACAGGATCCGGTTGTTTTGTTGTAATCCGCTTTCCCTTGCAAAAAACACTATAAAATGACATTTCTTGTTCTAATATAATCAAATTTCAAGAATCCCTTGCAAAAAATAAGGTAAAGTGGACATTCGCGCGCGCAAGACGAAATCCTTCCAAAAGCTTAGTGTTCGGAACGATTTTAACATAAAAACATCAAAAAACCAATGGTTTTTCAACAAAAAAATGTCAAAATCTCATCCCGCGCGCTCTTGCGGATTCGTAGGAAACCCAACACTTTTTAAACATTTCTGTCAAACGGGCTTTTGCGAGCAACTTTTTCGAACTTCTGCGACAACGGTTGCGCACCTGCCAGGGCCATCATCCCTGTCAAATAATACCATGCGGGACACATTCGTTTTTTCTTCGCGCGCGCACGCCGTCGTCGTCGGCCGCGGGGCCCTGAATAGTAGCCACGGTCGTCCGCATGCCACGAAGTGAAGTGTCCGAACGTCATAGGGCGGGAAGCTGGGTGTGGGTGGTGGCGAAGAGTCGTTTGGAAATTTGGTAGAGCTTGAACCGGCCCCCCCACAAAGTGGGGGTATTGCCCGCCTCCTATGAAAACCCTGGCACTGGTGAGAACGGAGTGTCCCCACGTGCTAGTAATTGTTGTTGAACATTATTAATTCTAAAGAATAATTATTGTTGGGACCCCTGGTGCACGGCCCCCCTGCGCCGCCTAGGCCGCAGCTACATTTTCATCATTTTCGTGAGGAAGCCTCAGGTAATTCGATGTGATCAAGATCCGGTTGTTTTGTTCCCCCCCGCTTTCCCTTGCAAAAAACACTATAAAATGACATTTCTTGTTCAAATGTAATCAAATTTCAAGAATCCCTTGCAAAAAATAAGGTAAAGTGGACATTCGCGCGCGCAAGACGAAATCCTTCCAAAAGCTTAGTGTTCGGAGCGATTTTAACATAAAAACATCAAAAAACCAATGGTTTTTCAACAAAAAATTGTCAAAATCTCATCCCGCGCGCTCTTGCGGATTCGTAGGAAACCCAACACTTTTTAAACATTTCTGTCAAACGGGCTTTTGCGAGCAACTTTTTCGAACTTCTGCGACAACGGTTGCGCACCTGCCAGGGCCATCATCCCTGTCAAATAATACCATGCGGGACACATTCGTTTTTTCTTCGCGCGCGCACGCCCAGGAATTCCACAAATGTGACCAACTATCTTGCGAGTACGTATCATCTCATGTGTGTCGTGCACACTATCAAATGTAACAGAGTTGTGTATTCCCATCATCCCAGGAACTTGACCCAAAAATGTGACCAACTCCGCTCTCTCTGTCTCTCTCTCTGTCTGCTCTCTGTCTCTCTCTCTGTCTCTCTGTATTATGTATTGTATGGCACAATTGCACCATGCTGGGCACATGCGCGCCCCGAATAAGTGACCAAGTTCTGTGGGTGTGTACCCCACGCCAGTGTAGTAGCCACGGTCGTCCGCACGCCACGAAGTGAAGTGTCCCAACGTCATAGGGCGGGAAGCTGGGTTTGGGTGGTCGCGAAGAGTCGTTTGGATATTTGGTAGAGCTTGTAATGCCCCCCCACGAAGTGGGGGTATTGCCTGGTGTCGTATGAAAACCCTGGCACTGGGGAGAACACCACGCGTTCGGGTAAAATGATTGTTGTTGTTGTTGTTGTTGTTGTTGATGTTGTTGTTGTTGTTGTTGTGGTTGTTGTTGTTGTTGTTGTCGATGTTGCTGATGTTGTTGTTGTTGTTGTTGTTGTCGTCGTTGTTGCTCTTGCTGAGGTTGAACTCACTACTGGCGAATAGTTATTGTTGATCCCTCCGCTGGTGCACATCGTATTTTCAATTGAAAAAGTGATCATCCCGGCGCTCGCACACTGTTTTTTTATTGGGGGAAGTCTACATCCTTAAACTGCGTTGTTCGCCCCGGGGTTGCAACAACAACGGCTCCCGCCTGAGACTTCCTCACAATGCTCTTTCGCTTGGGACTTCTTACAACTTATTCTGGAATCGCTCTTTCGGCGCTTTGGAGTCGCGCTCTCGCTGGAGACGCGCTTGCAATTAAACTTGGAATTTCCCGCAATTTACTCAAGCGCCGCGCTCCCGTCACACAGGCCCCCCAGGAGTCGCGCTTACGCGTAGGACTCCCCAACAGATTAATTTGAAATCGGGATCTCGCTGCCCGTCGTGGCCCCGTTGCAGCCCTTCGTGGCCCCCTCGTTGCCCTTCGTTGCCCCGTTGCAGCACCTCGTTGCCCCCTCGCTACCCTTCGTGGCCCCGTTGCAGCCCTTCGTGGCCCCCTCGCTGCCCGTCGTGGCGACGTTGCAGCCCTTCGTGGCCCCTTCGCTGCCCTTCGTGGCCCCGTTGCAGCCCTTTGTGGCCCCCTCGCTGCCCTTCGTGACCCCGTTGCAGCCCCTCGTGGCGCCCTCGCTGCCCTTCGTGGCCCCGTCGCAGCTCTTCGTGGCCCCCTCGCTGCCCGTCGTGGCCCCGTTGCAGCCTTTCGTGGCCCCTTCGCTGTCCTTCGTGGCCCCACATATGTATGCCCTTCGTGGCCCCCGCGCGTTCGCGCCAGTCGTGGCCCCATCTGCATGTCCTTCGTGGCTCCGCTGCCGCCCTTCGTGGCCCCCTCGCTGTCCTACGTGGCCCAGTTGCTACCCTCAGTGGCCCCGTCGGTGCCTTCTGTGGCCCCGCCTTAACCTTCTCTTCGTGGCCCCCGTTCGCGCCCGTCGTGGCCCCATATGCATGCCCTTCGTGTCCACGCTGTCGCCCTTCGTGGCCTACTTCGTGCCCTTCGTGGCCCTGCTGTCGTTCTCTCTCTCGCTGTCGCTTTCGCTCGTCGTCGTCGTCGCCGTCGTCGTCGACGTCGTCGTCGACGTCGTCGTGGTCGGTCCCCTGTCCGTCCCTCTTGGGGTCGGGTTGCCGCAGATCAGCGCTGCCGCTGGCCAGGCCGACGGTCCGCGGCCGCGCCGCCGCTTGCCGGGGACCGGCCTGCAGGAAAGAAAGGTACTCCGGCCCCCCCCAAAAGGGTACGATCGAAGACGAAGAGGGCGGGTATCGAGGGTTTGGGAAATACGCATTAACGGACACTCGAGCAGGTAAGATCGAGCAGTCTTAACATGATCGTTGTTGTTGCTGTTGTTGCTGTTGTTGTTGTTGATGCTGTTGCTGTTGTTGTTGGTGTTGTGATTGTTCTTACACTTTTTACTTTTACTATTATTGTTGGTGTTGATCGTGTTGTTGTTGGTGTTGTTGTTGTTGTTGTTGCTATTGCTGTTGTTATGGTTGTTGTTGTGCTTATCGTTGTTGATGATGTTGATGTCGATATTGTTGGTGTTGCTCTTTGTTGTTGTTGTGGTTGTTGTGGTTGTGGTTGTGGTTGTGGTGGTTGTGGCTGTGGTTGTGGTTGTGGTTGTTGTTGTTGTTGTTGCTGTTGCTGTTGCTGCTGCTGTTGCTGTTGTTCTTGTTGTTGTTGTTGGTTTTGTTGTTAGTGTTGTTGTTTTTGTTGTTGTTGGTGCTGTTGGTGTTGTTGTTGTTGCTGCTGTGGTGGTGGTGGTGGTTGCTGTTGTTGTTGTTGTTGTTGTTGTTGTTGTTGTGGTTGATGTTGTTGGTGTTGTTGTTGTTGTTGTTGTTGCTGTTGCTGTTGCTGTTGTCGTTGTCGTTATCGTTGTTGCTGTTGTTGTTGTTGTTGTTGTTGTTGTTGTTGTTGTGGTCGTCGTTGTTGCTGTTGTGGATTATTTAGTATAGTTGATGCCCCAGATGTGCTATTTCGATTGAAGTGCCCCTCCTGGGGCTCGCACCTTCACCAGGTAGCAACTTCCTGCTTAAACTGCGTTGTTGGCCACCGAATTCCTCCTCCTCCTCCTTTTCCTGCTTCTCCTCCTCCTCCTCCTCCTCCTTCTCCCCCTCCTCCTCCTCCTCCTCTCCTCCTCCTCCCTCCTCCTCCTCCTCCTCCTCCTCCTCCTCTCTCGGCATTCCTCCCCCTTCCTCCAACCCCTGTCCCCCCCTCTCCTCCTTCCACCTCCTCCTACTCCTCCTCCTCCTCCTCCTCCTCCTTCCATCTCCCCTCCCGCCCCCTCCCGGCGCACACGACGTGGTCTCCCCCTCCTTATTCTTCCCCCTCCTCCCTGCGCAGAGGACGTGGTCTCTTCGTTGCTGGCGCACCAGCCCTCAGCCGCGCTGGCGCCTTTGCCGCTGCCCCTCGGGCTGCTGGGCGGGGACTGCACGCTCTCTGGGGCGAACGCAGGGGCGCCCCCCGCCAGGCCCTCGCTGCTCGAAGGCCCAGGGTGGGTGGGGTGGGGAGGAGGAGGAGGAGGAGGAGGAGGAGGAGGAGGAGGAGGAGGAGGAGGAGGAGGAGGAGGAGGAGGAGGAGGGGGAGAGGAGGAGGAAGGAGGAGGCGGTAGGGAGGAGGAGAGGAGCGGAGGCGGAGGCGGAGGCGGAGGGGCGGAGGATGAGGAGGGGAGGAGGAGGAGGAGGAGGAGGAGGAGGGAAGGAGGAGGAGAAGAGGAGGAGAGGAGGAGAGAGGAGGATGAGGCGGAGGAGGGGGGGCGGGAGGGAGTATGTGGGTGAGATGAGGAGGAGGCGGATGCGGGGAGAACGAGGGCAGGGGAAAGAAGGAAGGTAGGTGTGCAAACGAAGGGGTAGGGAGGTAGTGTAGGAAGGCCGGGACGGAGAGCCGTGTAAGCAGACGGAAGATGCGTGAGAATAGGACGTGTAGGGGAAAGAGAGAGGAGGTAAACGGAATATGTGTTGTGAAGAGGCAGCGGAGGTGATAAGGGGGATAATGCGAGGAGCGAGGAGGGAGTGGGAAAAAGCGGGAGTGAGGCGTGAGTGATAGGACGTAGGGAACCTGAGCTGAGGCGGCTTACGTCTTTATGGCTGCGCTGTGTTAGCCCTCCCCAGGATGACAAACCAGTCACCTGGAAGGGGTACGTCAGCTTGGCATCGAAACACAAAAAATGCAAGCCTGGATTCTGAGGGGCGAATCAGTTCGCCGTTTTAAAAGCGTGGGAGCCGTGCACACGCCGTGGCATAGGCTACCGATCGGGGAGGGGGGACGCCAACATGGTGGAGCCACAAGGGCCAGGACCCACCTTGCTGGCTTCCCGTCCCCGCGATGAGGCGCCGCTGCCTGGCGCACCGCCCCGAGAAGAGGCCCCCCCCCCGACAGAGGCATTTGGCCTCGAGGGGGGCCTCCGAGGGGGCTTGGAACCACTTCTCCCACGGGAACCCCCACAGCGCCCACGAGGCGCCTGTCTGGGAAGAGCAATCGTCGGAACCGACGTCGGACGGGGGGGTCTAGGCGGCATATGGCCAGCAGCCTGTAAAGCCCTAAATCGCTCGCTCGAAGACCAATCAAACCCCGTCGACGAATGTTAGTGCGAAGTATGCCTGCAGACGGGCACGGGATTGAGGGGCCCAGCGAGATCGACTTCTCCATTCTATCATTCCATTATACTATTGTGCTCAAGTCTTGAAAGGTTCGCTCGCATGGGCCTCGCGCGCGGCCCCCTTTCAGCGATCGCGGCCGGGGTCATCCACGGGCTGGTGGCGCTTGGAGCCTGGCGGGTTACGCCCCCGCTGGTGTGCCCTCGGCCCGTCTGCCCGGCGGCCCAGTGCCCCTCGCCCACGGGGCTCGGCCCGCCTGGCGGGGATCCGCCCGCGGGGCCTGCGGCTCTCTTGGCTGAGCTGCCCGAGGAGCTGGCGGAGGTTCGCGCTGCGGCCGCGCGATTGGACGACCGCCTCGCTGTGCTGCAGGCGACGGCGGACGCGGTGACGAGCTTCTGGCCCCTGATCTGGGTGCTGATCGGGGGGCTCGCGAAGGACACCCTCGACAGGATCCGCCAGCCCCTCGCTCGCCGCCGCGATGCTGTCCGCGAGGAGGTACCAGCTCTTCGCGGCGGACGGGAGCGTCGTGGGCGAGCCGGCCTTTATGAGTGAGATGAGGCCAGGCTGCCGTTTTACCCTGTGGTATTCAGATGATACATACTGGCACGAGAGAGTTGCCCTGGCATATGTGCGACCAGGAGTGTGGGTCATCACCGCCCCGGACGGCGACAGGTATCCCGAGAACCTGCGATGCCGTCGGGGTACCAGCGGCGCGGTTCAGGCGGTTCTGGTGGATCCAGGGTAGCTCGTTCTGGATCGCATGCGCGGGCGCTTCTACCGTTTCAAGGACCCGCTGGAGCCCTCGGACTTGGTGGAGCAGGTCAAGATGGCCGAGGCGGAGAGCTACGCTATCACGCGCCGTGCTCCTGCGCCGCCGGCCGCCATCATGATGTGGGACGGCACGGACGTGGAGTACGAGCCCCTGATGGCCTCGGAGGGCGTACAGCTGGTGCCGCTTGGCGGTGGCGGAGCGCCCGTCCACGGTGAGGAGCCGGCGCCGGCCCCCTTGCCGCCGCCTGAGCTGCCGCCAGATGCGTGGTCGGGGCGGGGGGGGGGGGGCGTCGTCGTGGGTGGGACGGGGGGGGGGGGGGGGGAAGATAGCGTTGCGTCGTGGTGGTTGCAGCGTTCCGCACCATTCCAAAATCCACCATTCCCGACTATATTAATTGTTCGGTTCGGGGGCGGCCGAGATGCAGGGCAATCCTGGGTTGTCCTGGGCGGCAAATCCTCCAGGGGGGCTGTGGGCAGTAATATCCATATTCCATCCTGGCCCCGATGCGCCCGGTGGGGGGGGGGGGGGGGGGGGGGGGGGGGGGGGGGGGCTCCCGAGCTGGAGAGGTAAGCGATACCGCGGGCTAGACACTAAAACAAAAACCGGGGAAAAAACCAAAAACACCACAAACCCAAGCAATCAGGCAGCGGAGGAGGCCAGTGCCCGTCCGACAGGTCGCGCTGGCGGACGATGAGACGTTCATGGCATCGGCGCGGACAGGGATCGCCAAGATCCTGGAGGACGAGGCCGGCCCAGTCACGGGGCATCTGGAGGAGCGGCTTCACCACGCGCTGGATGGCGGCACGAAGACGCCCCCCATCGTCGAGGACGCGAGGACGTTGACGGTTGACTACGATGAACACGGAGAACGATACAAGGAGTGGAGATCCGTTTGTGCCGAGATCTCGTATAGCCATTTTGGCGACTGGGATAAGCACCACGAGGGGCCCGCCACCACGTTGGCCTTGTTCAAGAACATTCAGAGACAAGGCGGTGGCCCCTGGTTGTGGTACGCCAGCTCGTGTCGCGAGGCCAGCGTCAGCCCGCAGGAGAGCACGGGCATCGAGATGAAGCTCTTGACCGATATACTGTACCTCAGTGGCTGCTACGACCAGTTGAAAGGTCCCTCGCTCGCGTGCATCGAGACCGTAGCTCGCCGTGTATGTCAGATCATCGAGGCCTACTCGACGGGCGTGCCTGGTCGTGCCAACTGGGAGGGCGTGAAGCATTTCACCCCGGTGGCTTCAGCATCATCTGTGTGGTCCCTGCTGAGCTGCGTTCCCACGCGCACCGCCCGGCCAAGGAGGAGATGGAGATCGAGAGCATGCGGGTGCGCGCGCGGGGCCTGCAGCCGCCTGGAGGGCCAGGGGCGGCGCCGCCTGGTGCGCCCGTCAACCCGAAGGGCGCCCCGAAGGGCGGCGGTCGAGGCCGTGGCCAGCCTGGGCAGGGAGCTGGCCAGGAGGGCGGCGGGAAGGTGCCCCTGGCGCCACAGGGGTGAGTAACTGGGCCAGCGGCGAGGGTGGTCGACTCGACGCTGGAGGCCCAGACCAGGCGGTGTCCGATGAGCGAGTGAAGCGCGTCAGTATGCTGCCCCTTTTTCCTCTTCCCCTCTCCCAGTTGCCGCCTATGCCGAGTGGGCGTGGCCGACGGGCGACAGGCCTGCGAGGCCATTTGCGACGTCTAAATGCGGATGTCAATGCAGTTTTGAAGGCTTTGAATTGGATGGCGGGTGACCGACATGAGGCCTCCTATGGGCCCCTAGTCACCTCAGAGCAGGCCAGTGTGCAGGCGCGCGTCCGGGACAGGATTTCGCCCCTTTTGAGTTCCGGCGTTGCGATCCCTGGCCAGCGAGCGGCTTTTCTCGAGCTGCTGCACGGCCGGGCTGTGTATGATACAGAGCCCGGTGGACACAACCTTGCCAGTTTCTCCAATGTTGCCTCTGTGAGCCTTCCTGACAACCTCGACGGCGCCCCGATGGTGCAAGATGTTGTTGGCCCAGAGGCGAGCCAGTTTTTGGAGCAGAACTACGAGCGCATGCAGCGCCCTCTCTCGGATTTTTTGGAGCGACAGGAGTCGTTGCCCCCTATAAGGCCCTACTGGGACCCTGTGCTGGCTCGTAGTCGTCGCAAGTTTCTGCGGCTCATGCGAGCCCTCCTTAAGGTTGGTCTGGTGATGCTGCTGCCTGCTGGATCAGCCCAGGAGCATGCAGGGCATGTTTTTGTAAAAATGGCAGGAAAAAAGCAAAAGCCGTCTGATCATGGACGCACGACGTGCGAATCGCCGTTTCGCTGGGCCCCCTGGAGTTCACTTTTGTTCTAGTGAGAGCCTCGCAAGGATTGAGGTCATATTGCCAGGCTCTGTTTCCAGTCTCTCTCCCGAACAGCTCACTGGCGCCCGGATGTCTCTGGGGTTGGCGGATGTGAAAGACGCGTTCCATCGTTTCCGTATTCCGAGTGGTCTGGCCAGTTGCTTTGGGTTCGGATCGGCTACGGCGGGGGGGCTGAGCGTCGTTGGACAGAACCTTGATGGGGTCCTTTTGGGTGTTGACGACCAGGTCGATATCTGCTGGGCCTCTTTGCCGATGGGCATCTCTTGGTCTCTGTACTTCTGCCAGCAAGCGGGTGAGCAACGTATGAAAAGCGTCCCAGGGCTCACGACCTCGACCCTCCTCCAGGACCGCGGGGCGCCAGGGCTTTTTCGGTTTTCGGAGCGCTTCGACCCGTCTACTGGGACCTCTGCGGTGGAGGGTTCGGGGATCTGCCACTATATCTATGTGGACAACCTGGGTGTGATTAGCTGCGACCCTGTCAGTACTTCGTCGACGTTGTCGGGCGCCTCGGATCGGTTCGAGAAAGTTGGCCTGAGGACCCACGAGCACGAGGTGACCTCAGGCAAGTCGATGGCTCTGGGGACTCACTTGGATCTGGAGGGCTTTCGTGTGTCCCTCTCGCCTGCCCGTCTCTGGAAGGTTCGACAAGGGGTGCTGTGCGCCTTGAGGTGCCGGAAACTTCCCGGACGTGTGTGGGAGGTGCTGCTTGGTCACCTCACGTTCTGCGCCCTAATCAACAGGAACATGATGAGCGTGTTTAGGAGCATCTACGCATTCATTAACAAACATT